TAGCCCAACCAAAGGGATATAATGTATAGGGCTGGTGGGATCAGGGGCTTTCATCTTACATCTGCCTGCGAGCAGTTTGGAGGTGCAAGATACCTGAGCGTGTAATGTTAATTTTTACCTATGTTCATGGAATAAATCAGCACTGTTTTGTAGTTACTTGGAATGTCTCGTCTCTCAGAGTCAGTATGGTAAAAAGTACCGGTTACAACAAAACCAAGAACCCTTACACATTAATTCAAACTGTGGCTTACCGACAGGGCTGCAAAAGAACTGGACAAGGAAAGTATTTCATATTTCCGCGCTACAAGAACTTGCCTTACACGTACACATAACTCACTATGACCAGCCGAATGAGTGGGTGCTGGTAGTCGCCATAGCACCGGAAATCATATACCGGACTGTAATATTCCGCGAAGACCGTAAGGTGGCGCCATGTTCCACACTTTTTCTTCGCTTGCTCTTTAATACTGTGGGTGGTTCTCTTAATGGTCATAAATCAAGAAGATACAGATTAATTGTGTGAATGTTGAGTCAGCATCCACACTATTGTTATCCAATTCTTTATTATTCTGACTCCTTCCGTCTGTTTTTTGGCACTTAACTCCAGCATACTTTCAGCTAGAAAAAACATTCAAATATCAATGTTCATCTTTTTAAGGACATCCCTGTTTGTATTTATCTTTTTTATAACCTATATACTTAAAATATTAAAATATTCACATTCAAATGAATAGAAAAATCTTCAAATCGTCCTCCTCTTTCAGCCTTTATAGCTTCAGCATACTTTCAGCTAGAAAAACCATTCAACCTTTAAATAACTCATCAATTCATCTTGTATTCAGCTTTATGATATCTTTGACAGTTTTTGAATTATCAGTTTATGTTTTATGATTATTTTCAACATTTCTCAGCTTCTCCATTCATTTGAATGGGGAGAGCTAGAGTGGGAAACATCATTCACATTCTAACTATGTCCTACAGCCTGTCCTGACTATTTCAATCCCTTTCCAAAACAAATATACAAGTTTAAAGAGGGACTCAACAACTGTCCAAACTACCAATAGCTTGAAAGCTTGGACTCCTTCACACTGAGAAGGGGAAGGAGAAAAACCTTTTAGGATGCGAGTCGACTCTGACCTCATTTTAGCATTTAGCAAGATAAACACACAACCTCTAATGTCTTCAAAAAGCAGTGCAAGTATCACTTATTTGACACTACAACTGTCTCCCATGTTGACTTTTGACTCTCTCACTTCTAATTTACATGTCAGCTTAGAAAACACCATCAGTGTACATTTGAAACAGTTTGTGGAATCAATGCTTTTTGTAACAAATGATATGGCCTGTGTGTAATTGTACTGGCAATTACCGGGCCAGACTCTCATACTGAGTTCTGCTTGCTGGATCAAAGCATTGGCAAAGACAATAGTTGAGCTGCACCTTATAAAAACTTGCCAGCATGCTCTCTGAGGCTTGGAGGGCATCCATGCTCAGACGCTACACAAAGATAAAAAAAGTCAACAGATGAATCCATAATGACAGTAGACTAAGAATTCGTTGAAGCCTTTTATAGCATGCTTAAAAAAATAGTTTCACCTCAACCAACTACAACCGCAAAATGTCTCAGTAATAATCTAGTATCAGTTACGGTTTTCATTTCAATGCCAAGCTTTATTTTTCAGTCCCAAAGACTAAAGTCATCAATCTGGCACCATATAATTCACAAATGCAGTTCCTGTTGTAGCAGCTAAGTCCACTAGATGGAGACAAAAAACTAATAGGTAGAAATACGAGCCAATATCCTAAACCAGAGGTTCTCAAACTTAATATTCAAAGGTCTGAATCTGATTTATATTCAAGGTCAAAGGTCCAGAACGATTAGTGATAAGCAAATGGCTTTTATTAAACTTGCATACAATTGTACAGGTGTACCAGTACAATTGTATGCAATTCAATGCAACACTTCCACCTTCACATCTGTGTTTATGAAGCTCAAAATGTTTCAGTTTTTAGGGAAATTTTCATAAATGTATACATTCAATTATATGTTTATTATGGTTAAAGGTGGTGTTGTACTGGACTACATTATATATAGAGGTGTTTCTATATTTTTTCCTCCCCGGTTACATACATAAGAGGGTAATAATAGGAATACCTTTGAATAAAACCTAGTCCAGTATGGTTTGACCCTGCTCCATGCTGTAAGGCCCCAGTATTGTTGTACAGGAGCCCCCGCAGAGTGATCATCACAGTGTGCTGTTGGATTGTACACTGTAGTTCCTGATTCAATCCCCCCTGCACTGGGAGCCAATGCTTTCTGGCTATTTATGGCAGATGCCCCTCTATTGAGGCCGCTCTCTTCAGCCCATACATGGTTGCTGTGCGATGAGGTTACCATGCCGATTTTGGCCCACACTCCCCAAACCCTTTGGAAGCAGTGTTGTGTCACCTTTTACTGTCAGTCTAAACTTTCTCAAAACATGGTCTCACACCTGGTCCACAAGAATGGACGCTTAGGAACCACAGTCTTGACTTTTGGAATAGTTTGAAGAACCACCTACTTAAGGAATATCGGTTTGCTGTAGCACCGTTTTTCTGTATTTTTTCTCAGTTTCACCCTTCCTTTCACCTCAGTCCCTGTCTCTCGCTTTCACCCTTCTCCTGCATACCCCACTCCCTCTCATTCTCTCTCCCTCTCCCTTCTCATCTTGCTCGCCAGTTCCTGGACTGATTTATTTTGCCCCGTGAAGCACAGCTTGTGGGAAAGCACCAGGCTATATTTGTCAGTTGCTGAGGTTCGACCTGCAGATGACTTCTGGTCTTCTGTTTGGGTTTACCTGCTCACACCTACACCTCCTGCTTCCTCGATATCTGCTTGGCTCTGAATAAGGAACTAGTGAGACCCTCTGTTTGGTGGTTTCATATCCCTGAACTCTACTTTCAGGATAAATGGACCCGTGAAGCATTTGTCTCTGTCTTGTACTACTGGAGCCAAAGTACTGTAAGTACTGTTTTCTCTTTACTAGTCTGAAGCCAGGCATGCTTTGATATATGTCAGCAAATAGTTCTTTTATGATAAATGTAACATTTATCATTTATTATGAAGCCTTATGATTATTCACAGGTTCTAAATTTTTAGTTGCATGCTAAATAAATAAGATCATGTTTGGCCGTTATATATGTTATTTGTTGTCTGGTGTTAGAGTAGCAAACCATATTTTACTGAAAGGTAAACAGGATATTACAGCCCAGAAGTTGTCAAACTGATTCAATAGACTTGGCATTGGAGGCCATCTAAATTCAAGTAAAGGAATTTTGGCCGTTCCTGGTACATGTGCTAAATGTTCTTGTGTTTGGTAAATTTTTCAGATATGACACCCTCTAAAAGTGTCTTAAGTTTGGGGAAGTAATTCATTCATTGTCATTGTTTTTTGCCAACTACCCAGTAGCAGAGGCAACAATTCAGCTGTACCTTTAGGTTAAATTTTTTCCCCTGGATGACTGAGTGAAGTTTCTCAGCCAAGCTGAGCTCTTGTTGCTTTGTGCTGTCTCGAGTAACCACATGGTTATTAGCATTGCAAGCTCCAGATTATGGCTGCGTGGTGGTATGTGTGCAGCTGATCTGTTGTCTATGTACTGGGTTGGTGTGTTGTTCCACGACTGGACAGGTGTCATTTCTCCACAGTTTTGTTTGTGTGTGTGAGAGCGTGTGACTCCATGCAGCAGTTGCTTGGTGCTCTGCACCTGTTGCACCCATCAGAATGAACAGACAGGTTTAATGGCTGCCGACATGCTTGGCTCTCTTCCACTGGACTCTGTTCATCTAGTTATAAAAATACGGACTTGCTCACATCTCCAAGTAGACACATTTGTATTATCTCTCAGGTGTGAGTTGTCAGATTGGACTGACAAAATGTAGCCCAGTCAGAGCCCAGAACAACCCAGCTGTCAGAGGTCATCCATTTACTTTGCCTCCACAGTGAAGTCATAACATTAAACAAAAGTCTTTCAAAATAATCCACCCATCATCTATACCACTTATCCTCTTCAGGATAAGCGGATCCTGAAGGGGGGCTGGAGCCAATCCCAACTGACATTGGGCAAGAAGCGCAGTCCACTGTGGACAGGTCACCAGTCTGTCACAGGGCTGACATTTAGAGACGCACAATCACACTCACTCCTACAGGCAATTTAGAGTCACCAGTCAACCTAATCTGCATGTCTTTGGACTGTGGGAAGAAGCTGGGGTATCCACAGAGAACCCATACAGACATAGGAAGGGTATCCGGTGTAAAACAGGTGCCAAATATGAACATGCGATTCATCAGTGTGACAATTCGCTGTGGCAACCCCTAAACGGGAAAAGCTGAAAGTTACTTTCTTATATACAGGTATCACTAATTTATACTAGTTTTGTGAAATAAAAAAAAGTCTTGCCATACAGCAGGCTGTAAATACTGAAATGCCCTACCAACATAGGTTTGTAAATGCACTGTGGAGAAATGGCTAAAGATAGATTGTATCTTACCAGTCAAATGCTCATATATGATGGTCTACTTTAGGGCGGCTGGGATAGAAACAAGAGTGGATTTACCATAGTCTCATAACATTGTCCAACTGGTTAATGATTATTAACTGGCCCTGGTCAGATTAAAGATACTGTATGTTTTGGCTAGTTTAAGGTATTCCCATTAATAGCTGGACAACTGAATGTGTCCAAGGGTCATGGTGCATACATGGGTTACAATCAGAGCCATGGCTTGTGTTGCATATCATCTTCTCTTTGTGTTGTTTTTAGCCAAAAAGAGAGAAGCTGCAGGAATAACCCCTGCAATAATACTGAGACATAGGACTAACTATGCATTGTATGAAAATGAGCACATAAATTGATTTGACACTTTTGGCTGGTCCTGAGTTACCTCGTCATGTTACATAACGTGAAGATGTTCCTGGATGGTGTGGCTTTAAGAAACAACAGTCAAATCTACAAGTAGCCATCTCTGGCTTGAGACCCACATCTCCCTCCTCCGTCACCCTCACTCACTATGTCTCTGCCTCTCTTTCCTTTCCCTCCCTCTCTCGTGCTCTGTCTAAGAGCTGCAGAACTTCTTAAGAGGCTCTTCTGAGCACCAGGCCCTGTGCTCATTGATATCCATATAAGAGCAGAGCAGACAGATTTCTGTGCCGAGTGTCAGGCAGAAATGATGCAAGGCAGCAGAGAGGAATGCAGATCTGGATTTAAAGAGAGAATACCAGAGTAAATGTTTGAGGGAGGAGGAAGGACAAAGGTTCTTTCTCTGCTGCCTCTTGGTCTTACTTGACCCGTGTATTTGCATGCATGACTTTAGGTCATGTATCCTTTCTGCATATGTGTGCATATGTTTATATTAGTGCAGGTGCATCTGTCTCATGGTACTTTAGTGCACTTGTACAAATTAGCCTAAACAAAAATGTTTGCAATAATAAAAGCAGGCTAGCTTGAAACATAGTGTCCGACTCTGCTTAAAGAGCATATGAGCCCCTTAAGTAATATTCAGCATTTTCATAAAAAAAAAAAACACTTTGCAGACACCTCTAAACAAGTAGTGTGAGAGTGAGGTAGATAACAGAGACACAAATTTAATCCCCAGTACAACCAGTCTTTGGTTGTTTCTTCAAGCAAAACATGCACTCACAATTTTTAGAAATAATCAATAATAATAATCAAAAATGGCCATGACAAAAATGTCCTTCTTCCAACAAAGAGTATTTTGTCAGCGTCTCCCTGAATCATTAAATTGAAGTTATTATAAAAATGTATTAATGTTTGGCAGGTGACTAACATTTTCAGCTGAGGAGGGTCATGGCTTATGAGCTTTTAACACAAGTTTGTGTCATAATGTACATCTCATAAAGTATTAAGCTCAGTGTCATTCAGGCTAAAGACAGACTGAAACACAGGATCGTATGGTAGTGTCCTCCACAGTAAAACTTCATCCTTACAATCTAAACTAATGTGCTGCTGAGCTCCATGGCTTAAAGCTTGATTTGCTGAGAGATGCTTTGACGGTGAGTCACACAGGGATTTGTTGCGGCCTCGCCTCGTGGAGTTTACATGATGTCCTGGGTGTTGAGTTTTATTGAAGAGTGTGATTGGCTTGTACGGCCTATGCAGCAGGATGAAACTGCTTTACGTCTTCAACCCAACAGACCAAGAGAGAATTAAAGCAAATGATTTGACATATGCAGTGTTTTTTGTTAACTTTTTGTAAATATAAGATGTCATCATCAGAAAACAGAAAGACTGACCTGGCTGAAGGGTTGAGACATGATTCTGGAAACAGTCTTAAACAGTCTTTGTCAACTGTAAATTTCCCACTGGGGATTAATGAAGTGTAATGATTATAAATACTGGTAACTAAAGTTATCAAATAAATGTAGTGACTAAAAAGTATTTTCTCTAAAATGTAGTGAAGTCAAAGTATGAAGTAGCAGAAAATGAAAATACTCTAGTAAAGTATAGATACTTCAAACAGTAAGTACAGTACTTGAGTACATGTAATTAGTTACTTTCCACATCTGTTTGTGTTTTCATGCTTTCCTGTGAGGATGAAAAACCTGAATTACGGCCAAGATGGTGGATATTCTGTACATTCAAATATCTACAGTTAAGCTACAAGAATTCATATATAAAAATGATTAAAAGCACAAAAACCTCAGAGCAAGTCAGTGATTGTACAAACAGCCTACTCCAAATCAAACGGATCACCGTCAGCTTGGGCAATGATGCTTGTCATCCATACTTGAAAGCCTCATGAATGTTGTGCAGCCTGTTGTGATGTTGTAGTTTTGTATGGAACTGATTAGACAGAGTGAGTGGTGGAGGGTGTATGATGTTTGTTACGGCAGATGTTGACATGCAAAATTAGCACTGAAAGGAGGGGTAAACAGAAAAGCAAAGACAGGAATCTAAACAAAGTGGACATGAAAGTGAAAAGCAAGAAATAGAGGAGAAGAAAGAATGAGATGGGATGATAGGAATGAGTAGGAGGGGCCAGAGAGGAGAGAGCTAGATGGATGGCGAGGATGACAAATCTGGGGAATGACAGAGAGAAGGAGTGGGAGAGTAAACAAGGCCGAGCAGCGAGTAGGCGTTCGCTGGTAAGCACGGGCCTGCTGGCTGACAGGGCGACCTCTCCCCAAGACAGCCACTCACAACACATGTTGCCTTATTAGGGGCGTCTACAGTGAGTGGAGGCGGACTAGGGAGCAGGAGTTTCTGTGTGAAAGGGTGAGAAAAGCATCACACAGAGGAGGTGAGGAGTGTACAAGTGAGCAAGAGTGTGGTGTCGCCAAAGGTGTGTAGCAAGAGTAATCACCAGGTCAACACTGCAGCGCAGCTCAAACAAGTTTTAGAATACTGTACTGTAGTTCTCACCTTAATAATATACATTATACAAGATTCAATGGTATCATACTGACATTTCTCAAGTATAGGGCCTTTTATTGGAGGAAAATGTCTGCTTATATAGCGCTGGAGCTTATGCTGTAAATTTTCATGTTCATACTAACTCTCTGGTTTCTAGTTACGATTAAGACAGTGGGTGGCTAAGAATGAAAACTGATAGACCACCTCCATGAAACCTATAGGTTGCTCTTCCTTCTCCTCTGAGGTTACTCCCTGATGTGATGGTGAGATGACTTACAGAACTCGGCTTGGTTGTGCCTTAGATGAGATGCAGCCTGTAATGAGAAGACAGAGGAAGAGAGTGAGACAGCAAATAACAGGGACAAGATGAGAAAGGATGGAAATAAAATACACCACCATCAAGTAGGTTTTTTACTAGTTTAAATTTAGGTTTTAGCTTTAAATTTTTGACATTTGTAAATCTAACGCCTGAGTCTAAATTTGAACTGTGTCCAAAATTTAAGTTAGCATTGTTGTGTTTATTAAGAAACAAGTGAATATGGTAGGAAAACATAAATACTGCATTCCTTAGTGGTTGAACTGGTTTCAAGACAAGGTTGGCCATCCTAGCTGAAGCATGCTTGATGTGTGTGTGTGTGTGTGTGTGTGTGTGTGTGTGTGTGTGTGGTTAGCATTTGACTTCCAGCAGGCCTGAACCCCACACCACCCCCTGCAGCCCTGCTGCCACCGTCCTCCAATCCTGTTTGAGAGTTTTTATCATCAAGACTAATTTCTGCTTGTAATCTGATTAGGGCTCTGAGCTGCTTTAGCACCCTGCTGTGCTGTCTCTCTCTCAGCTCTCTTTCGTGCACACCCAGCCAGCCAGTCTGTGTAGGCTGTAGCTCGCTGTGAATCTGGGGCAGTCTCTTTGCTGTGGTTCTGCGCTTGTCTATGTGTGTGTGGTTGTGTCACCACCTTCATCCCTGCCTGTCTTCTTGCCGGTAGCAGCTCTCGCCTCCGCTGCTGCTCCACTGTCGCTGTCCACATCTGTCACCAGTGCTGTGACCAGAGGGAGTTTAGCAGCGAGGAATTACTCTGTTCTTTTTCTTAATCATGTTTCAAAACCCATGGATCTGTGACTACCAGGTGAACCACATGCAGCCCTGTGGCCAAGGTAAGGCCTAGAGGACAGAGACTCTTGGTCTGACTTAACCCACTTGAATACCCTTAACTCTAGAGACTGCTTGGGGGACTTGCAGATTTAGCCCATTACTGAGCTAAATGACAGAGTTTGGTGGGTGTCAGTAATACAATGGGTAGTGGGATTCAGCTTTGCAAGACGTGTAAGAGCCTGCAAAGTTTCCTGGTAGATTCCATACTTTGTTTCTTTTTGCTTGGTATTGGCAGGCACAGGTTTAAATCAGAATCAGAATCTTTATTGCACACATTCCTATTACAATGCATTTCTGTTACAATGAACATGAATATTAGCATACAGGCTACCTTTTGGTAGCGACTGAGCATTTTACCACACTCATTTGGTGTTGTATTTTTAGTAGGTGAATGCTGTGTGCTCCTTTTCCTGTTGCCTCCTCCTTGAAATTTTACCTTGTCATTGTATTCTACATTGAAAAGCACTTTATCTACATCACAAGGTGTATCACTGCCTGCTGAGGTGGCAGACAGCCGGTCACCAGCAACCTTTCCACATAGACTTTGTACAAGTGAGGACCCTGTTCACTCAGGCAGTCTATTTTGCACCTCTGAATATTTATAGAAAATCACTCTCCTCACTGCGTTCACTTTGGGACTGTCAGTAGCCTAAGCTGCTCTCTGACACTGCCAGCCTTGAGCCTTGCGCTGCTTGTTTTGTTGACAACCTGCAGGCGTTTCCAAGGAAAGCTGGACTGATTTCTTTATAAGGGGCTTTCCACTGGAGGAAGCAAACGTGTGCAGTCCCAGACAGATAAACAAACCCAATACATGCACATGAGATTCACAGATGCTCAGAAAATCTTGAATGTTTGTGGAGTTGAGAAGAAATAATGTTTTGAAGGTTGTGACATTTATCGATTTCTGGTATGAAAATAGTTGTCACGGCCAGCTCAGTGCTTTACATCCTGAGAGCGAACGAGAATCACATCAGCACAGCAGGTCAAACCCACATTTCTGGCCTCTCTGATGTATTATTCTGACTTGTATCCTGTCTTACATCTGAACATGTTCTTCAATTTCACCAGGTTACTTCATAAAACACCAAGACCCCTTCAACTTGAGCAGTGGGACTTGGTGTCATTTCCTAAAAACACCTTTCCACAGCTATCCTTTCTGTCCATCCAAATGTTCCCCACCATATTGCCACACAGTCCTTGGTGGCCAAAATAAGTCTGAGGTGATCTGGAGGCGTACAGAGCAGTAACATGATCTGTGTCCTATACTGGGATACAGCTTTACAACAGGCTGTTGTTGCTGTGACATAAGAGCAAGAGGGTCAACTGGGAACTTTCTGAAAAACCTTTTTTGACAAGTGTCATAGTGAGGTTGGACATTTCTGAGCAGAATCCGGCAGTACATTGTTGGTGTTTACCCTGAGGGAAGAAAAGCAGCTAATCTGTGACGACATGTTGCTTCTGTTGCTGAAAAGACAATTGAATGACAAGGTCCAGCATCATTATCAGATACCAAAGCATCGCAGTTTATAACAGGCTACTATTAGACAGGACGTCACAGCTCTGGAAAATCATCACTGCATCAGAAATCCTGACAATTTACAAAGTAAAAAAAGGAAATCTTCGAGAACTTAGGAACTCACTACTATATTTTGATGTTATTTTAATTTTGGCTTGTAATTTCACAGTAATGTTATTATCATTCCCATGTATTTGGAAATACAGGAAAATTCAGCAAAACTGGAGAGTGAGTTTGCAGGTTGTTTATGCCGGATGTAATTTTGAGCTGCTGCAAAAACATAATCAGGTTCAACTTTGCTGCCCGACGGCCCTCTACATCAGAACAGCTTGCTGTGGCAACTCAGTGGTGTTGAGATGAGAAAATAGGGTAAATGCTTTTCTAGTAGAGGTATTTTTACAGGCCATGTCATGCTGTTAAACAGGAGATTGAATTCGGTTTTGCAGTAGGTAGATCAATTGTACTGTACATTTAGCCCAGAAAGCTTCATTTTGACAAGTTCCATCACTCCCAGTGTCAGCACAGACCACTGATGTCAAAGTTGCTGTGTGGATCTCTTTTTAATTTGAGTTCTCAACTGAGTATCTCTCTTTTTTAGGATTTGAATCTCCCACCAAACTTTGCAACTCAGCCTCGTTTCCAGCAGAAGCCTTAAGGTGAGCAAGGAAGAGTTTGTTTTTGCCTCAGCACAAACTGACATGGGTCAGATGGCACAGCTGAATTTTCTGTAGTTTAAAGACAAAACATGTAGCTAAAGAAATGACATGTAGCATCTTCTAAGACCATTTACTGTTCTCCCGTTTTACTTTATCATCAGCTTACTGCAGTGCTTCAGCTTATCATGTGCAGTAAGCATTAAATATTGGAGATGGAGTTGGAGTTGAAGTTATGACTGCCATGTTAGAAATGAAAGGCCAAAAACAAATCTTTTTTATAGGAGGGTGATGAATGAATATGCTGTAAGGAGGCTAAAAGAGGACTTTTTGGGGCAAGACTGGGATGCAGTTTACAATGAGGAAGACTTAGATAAAGCATATGAGCAATTTTTAAATATATTCATGGAAGTATATGACAGGAACTGTCCTCGTAAGCAGTATAAAAACAAGAGGAATTACAGTGGGAAACCGTGGATGAGTAAGGGATTACAGAATGCATGTAAAAAGAAGAATGTCTTATATAAAGAATTTATAAAAGGACAGATCCAAGAAGGCGGAAGATAAATATAAGTTATATAAGAATAAATTAATGGCGCTATTGAGGATATGTAAGAAACAATATTACTCTACAGTATTAGAGGATAATAAAAATAATATGAAAGGTACTTGGAAGATATTAAATAAACTGATTAGAAACAGTACCAGCAGGAGTCATTACCCCCCATATTTTATGGACAATGATACATCCGTCAACAGATTTGAGGATGTAGTTGAGAAGTTTAATAAGTTTTTTGTGAATGTGGGTCCTGGTTTAGCAAGTAGCATTTGTACAGACGTCATTATAAATAACAATACAATTGAAAAAAATATGTGTTCTATGTTTCTTAAGCCAATTGTTGAAAAGGAAATTAGGAGGACAGTGAACAAATGTGGTAATAAATCATCCTGTGATAGTGATGGTATCAGTATGACAATGGTTAAATGGGCAATCGAGGGGATATGCACACTACTAACCCATGTTTTTAACAAGTCGTTTCCACTTGGTCAGTTCCCCAATAATATGAAAATTGCAAAGGTTATTCCACTGTATAAATCTGGGGATAAGCACAACTTCACAAATTATAGACCGGTTTCTCTGTTGTCACAGTTTTCAAAAATCTTGGAAAAACTCTTTAATAACAGATTAGACACATTTATTGATAGACATAAAATCCTCTCTGATTGCCAATATGGTTTTAGGTCGAACCGATCGACATCT